GAGATTTCTTATGTACATATTTTTATATTTAATATATCATTGCTATGATATGATAAATACATTATACAAAGTATGTCTGTATGTATAGATAATTTAAATATATTTAACATATATTTGACATTATATATAAATACATATATTTTTTTAATGTAAATTTTTATATATTTATATCCATTATTATATAAAAAAATTCCTAAATTAATAACAATAGCAAACACACACACAACAAAACAAATTAAAAAATTATAATACATAATTTTTTCTTAAATTATTTAAAATAGCAAAAACCCTCTTCATCTCTCTCTTTATATATAAAACAATTACATAATACATTTTTCTAATTGTTTAGTTAATCAAAATAAAATAAAACTATAGTAACAATTATATAAATGTTTATATATAAAATATACAGACACACATATAAAAATTTAATATTTATGTAATAATATATATATATATATTGTAGTATATCATAATTTTTTTCGTATATAGTTCTTATGTAATTAAAACAGGATGTTTTATTTATTTGTGTGTATTTTGATGTTTATTAGAGTATCATGTCATTAGGTTAGAAACGTACACATATAATCTAATAAAACTGAGTTGAGTCTCTTGTGTTGTATTATATGACGTGTCTACATCGAGTCTTTCATGAGCCTCGATTTCAGTGAAGATGCTGCGTATGCAGATGTTACACAGCAAGGCAGTTTTTGGATCAGAACTAGACCAAAGGCCGAGAACGGAGACGCCAAACGTAGCTGAAGATCTCAAAGCGACTATCAGCTTGACAGCATGTGTTTTCACTTTTCATTTTGGTTTTTTCATTAAGCGGATGTGTCACGAATAATCAGTGCACCGTTGATTCGCTGCTCTAATTTCTGGACGCAGGCTGATGTTTATGGCTGCGTTTCAACAGTAATTCACGCTCGCAACAATACATGCTTTGTTTCAGGAGAGGACTCGGGACGTGTGGGACTGCTTGATGAAAAGTGTTGCTTTATGGGAAAACACACTGAAGGAAAGACACAAGAGTGTATTGAACCCAATGAGAACGGACCCTCTTAACAGCACTCTCTGAAATAGGCTTCAGGTCAAAGGTCAAGAATCCTTCAGGTCGAGGTCAAAGGTCAAGACTGAGGCATGTGCCTGAGGCCAGGATTGTTCCTTTCACATTTTTCTGTCTCAGCCATTCCTTCATGAACACTACAAACATGCCTACACCTTTCAGACTTACTTCTAATTATTTTTCTAGATTGACCGATACAGGCATCTTAAAGGTTGAAGCTGATAACTAGAGAACAGAGCAAATGATGGTCAATATAATGTTGATACTTTATATACATAATAAAATTGTAATAAATATTAAACAGAAATTATCATTGGCAAAGAATGAATGAATGAACTAGACGTCGACTGATAGTCAATTAAACCGATAATGATAACTAGATTGGCACTGGCCAATAACCGATTAATCAACTGATCATTTTTAGAATGGATAGTGAATGAAAACAAACATAAGCCTTCTCAGCTGCTCCAGCAACGGAAAAACTACCGGCATGAATTTCTGACGATTTTGGCAATCGGTTATCGGTACCGATTAATCGGCAAAACCCATCAACTGGTCGACCACTAGAATGAACACTTAGCACCCTAACTTCCAGAAAATAAGTCACACAAGGTCAAAACTGTATTGTTGAGAGAGAAAAAACAGAGAAATGTATTAATTATAAAAATAATGTAAAATACTGATAAATTAGGGCTGGACGATATGGCCAAAATTTATATCACGATATATTTCTTAATTTCGGTCGATACGATATAATTCCGATATCGATATGAACACTATTTAAAAAAGCCTTGTAAAAACTGCCAAGAACGCCCACAACAGATGTCTGTGCATACAAACTTATGAAAAATGAATTTGCCAAGTCTATGACACCTCATATAAAACCATATAATACTTTAGAGAAAAAAAAAACAGCACAAATAAATGAGTGTTCACCTTTTATTTGTATTTAGCCTTCATACAAACAAGAAATGTGAAATCACTGTCAAATAAACATCTCAGACTCACCTTATTAATTATTAATATCTTCTAACATACCAGTCAAAAGTTTTTGAACAGTAAAAAATACTCAACTGTATATTGATAATCAGCAAATCAGCATATTAGGATGATTTCTGAAGATCATGTGGCACTGAAGACTGGAGTAATTATGTTGAAAATTCAGCTTTGATCACAGGAATAAATTACATTTTAAAATATATTCAAATAGAAAATATTTCTAAATTACGATAAATAAAACAAAATGTTTACAAACACTACGACAAATCCTTCAAATGTAATGGTATTCAGAACAGAACAGGGATGAGAACTCTAAGTAAACAAACAAATTATAGTGCCGTTTATTATAAACAAGATTTGTCAAACAAGAAGTGCCAAGCCAAACAAATTTATTTAAAGCGAAACGATCCACTATACAAATAAACTTATGCGCACGTTTCACAGCACATTTCAGATTATTAAAAAAAATGCAACTTAAATTCCATAAAACAGGGTGCACGATATTTCAAATTTTACTTTTAATGATCTGAAAACAGAGAATGTACATTATCATTGCAAAGCGATATATATATCATAACTGATATAATTTTTGTTTTATACCCTGGAATATTTATTGAAATGATAATATAATATAATATAATATAATATATACAAATGTACTTTTTTAAATTCTCATATATAAATAATTATGACTGATTGATGATTATTAGTCAAACTGAAAGCAATCTAACAATAAAAGAAAAGATCGCTGCTCTTGATTGAACTACAGTACTTTTGTAGTTTTAATAATCCATTTATTTGTAATGAACACACTGAAGTGATTTTTACATTTGATTATTTGTTTTTCTCTCTTGAATGCTTTTGTTTAGATGTAAACTGAAAAAAGTAATGCACTATTTGTTTCTTTCTTATATTTGTTCTAATGTTGTTGTTGTTTTTTTTGCATCTGTTCTTATTTTTAATAACAAAGATAAAATAAAAAATGGCTATATTGCGATTATTAATATAGTAATTAATATTAAGAAAGGAAGTGGAGGAAACAATGCAACGTTGCAGGTGATTTTGCTTTGGAACCTTAACTGACTTTGCTGACTTTGTCAACTTCAAACGGGTGTAGCTCAGTCATTTTTCATCAGATTCCAACAATTCATACATCATTTTGAATGTGAAAAATAAAATAACTCATTTTTGAAAATTTGCTCATTGTCACAGGTCACATATGTTATTTTAGTATCACTGCTATTTAAATCATCATTATGATTCTATTATTTTTACTAATATTATGAGTTACTTTTTAATTTTGTTTTCCATTTTTTTATGTTAGTTAAATTTAGTAATTTTGTTGTTTATTTTTGTGATTTTTATAAATTTTTGTTATTTAAAAAATGTCTATATGATTTTTTATTCATTTTTATTTAAGTTTTAGTTATTTTATCACATCAAGTTTAATGCAAACAAATGCAACATTTTTACATTTTGTTTCAGTTTATTTCAAGTAACAATTTTTTTATTGTTTTATTTTATTTATAGTTTAGTTAACGACTATATCCATCATCAAGCAGTTGATGGTTGATAGCTAATTGAGGGCCTTATAATCTCACATAATAAAATTAATATATAATATATATATATATATATTAATAGAGGGACCCAATCCATAGATCTAACCACCTACAACATGCTACCAACCACATAGCAACCACCTATAACACCCTAGCAACTACACAGAAAACAACTCCAAACACCTTAGCAACTGCACAACAACCACTGCGCTGAGTTCTGCATAGTCAAACACCACTCATTTTTTAGAAAATAAAATTGACTTCTTTATAACACAGCATTCAAAAATCAAACGTGATTTATAATGCATCAGATTATTTTTTCAACAGACGTGCCTTTGAGTAAAAACACTGTAGATAAAAGCATGAAAGAGCTGCTAGACACAATTCATGATTAATATCAGCTGTTGTAGAAGTGTTAATTGGGGTCTCAACATTAGCGCGATAACCAGACGCCTGATTAATTAGCAATCAAACCCACACAGACATGACACTAATGACGGGAAACTGTGAGACGCTCAAGCGATGGAAAACATGACATTTACACACTGAAGATCAGCGATGACACGCATGACACAAATCAGGCTCAAGTTCACTGAAAACATCAAATCACACTGACTTTAATGCGTTACTGCTCTTATTGTGAATGACTGTGAATTATATATTTTTTTTTTTATTTGAACACTTTACAATATTGGCAACTTTAGATTATACCGAAAATATTAGAGTAAAAAAAAAATTATTTATCAAATGATTGCATGGCGAAAAATTAGTTTGACATACTAGAATCAGCCCTGCAAACTAAATATAAAAACAGAAAAATTTATTTTATAGAAATATATTTAATTTGTTCCTTAAAATAAAATAAATGTTAACTGAAAAAAAAAAAACTTGTTTAAAAAATATTTCAGCTAGCTACCAAAGCAACATTTTCCATATTTATTTCCATGGTTAAAACAAAAATTTAATTTAAAATTAATTTTAAAAACTATATATGTATAAATATAGCCTACAGACACTATATAAAAATATATAAATGACAAAAAAACTAAAAACAACTCAATTCTTAAATCTTTAAAAAAAGATGAAAATATAAAAATAAAAATTAATTCAAACTATAATTAAAATCTATATCATTTTATTAATATAAACAAACAAACACTGACCATAACAAAATTACTTACTTTCCTTTATTGTCCACAAGTGGAAATTTGTCTTTGGCTTCACAACACATTATACCCCCCCAGAAATCTAACAGTATCCAGATTTTAAAATGTCCAAGTTGATATGTCCATAACTTCACAACTTATTTGCATGTTCATGATTATCTGATGTCAATTAATGGTCACTTGATCAAATATTTAATTGTTTTATGTTTTATGATGATTGTTGCTATTTTCAAATGATTTACTAATTTATTTATTTTTTAATTGTTTTATGATTTTATTAATTATTAGCTATTTATTGACTCACAAACCCCAGTTTGTGGCTTTAAGTGATGTCAAAAAAGTAATGTAACTTTATAGCAAGTAATTAGATTTTAATTAAAGATTACAAATGCAAACAGATTTTTTCCTTTATGATCACATGCAGTGATGCATAATTCGCATAAAGTCCAGGAACAGCTTCAAGAAAGGAAGTGGAGCTTATTGTGTTTTCTGGATGGATGCTGGTTTTCAGTGAGATGGAGAGTATGGATGCACTGCAGAGATGGCATGTATGTTTGTTGTGTGCAAACATCACGTGTGCCAGGAGGTGTGTGTGTGTGTGTGTGTGTGTAGTGACCTGTGCTTTGGCCAGTCTCTTCTCCAGTGCGTCTCTCTCTCTCTCGGTCTGCAGCAGCCGCTGGTTGAGCTCCACCACGTCACCCTTCAGAGACGCCAGAGCAGCCAGATGCAGCTGCGCACACACACACACACACACACACATTACAGCACGCAGACATTAAATCACAACCTGCACAGTCTGTTTCTCTGGTGAGCTTGGACTTTATATAAACATGTACTGTTCAGTAGTCTGCAATAATTATGATTTTTTAAAATGTTTTTGATGGAAGTCCCTTCTGCTCACCAAGGCTGCATTTATTTGATTGGAAATACTGCAAAATTGTGAAATATTATTTCAATTTAAAATAGCTGTTTTCTATGTGAAAAATGTATCTGTTAGACTGTAATGTATTTCTGTGATGCGCAGCTGTATTTTCAGCATCAGTACTCCAGTCTTCAGTGTCACATGATCTTCAGAAATCATTATAATATGCTGATTTGCTGCTGATTTGCTGATGTTGAAAACTGTTGTGCTGCACAATATTTCTGTGGAAACTGTGATACATTTTATTTTTCAGGATTCACAGATGAATAGAAAGTTCAAAAGAACAGCATTTATTTGAAATAGAAATCTTTGTGACATTAGAAATGTCTTTACTGTCACTTTTGATCAATTTAATGCTTTCTTACTGAAAAAAGTATTAATTTCTTAAAATCTTACTGACCCATTTGAGTGAACATAATCATCATCATCATCGTAACAGATCTGACAAAACTATAATTTCTTTACATGTAAAATGTTTTTGCAGTAGAAACACACACACACTGCTGTCTGGTCGTCTACTGGCATCAGCAGCTAAACATGAAATCAACCTCCATTTGAATTCTACAGTGGATCTGTGATGTCTGCTCAAATCTATTTCACACCTCAGCAGAGAGAAAGAAAGAAAATCCTGAGAGCTTATGAGAACCAGCCACACACACACACACACACACACACACACACAAAACCTCTTTGAAACACACTCTCACACACACTCTCA